TTTGTATTTGTGATACATTTTTAAATGTTCAGTTGACTGAGTTTCATGTTTAATGAATAAAAAAGATAATAATAATAGCCTTTATTGTCATTGTACAACATGTATACAACAAAATTGGTTTAGCCTCTATGGTGCAATCCATAACAGAAAATACAAGACAATACAGTCCCCAATTTATACTAACCTGTTTCCTCGAAAATAAGACATCCCCTGATGTTAAGTCCAGTCGGGCTTTTGAGCGCATGCGCTAAAATAAGCCTTCCCCCCTGAAAATAAGCCCTCCCCGAAAATATTTAAACGCAGAGCTGGAAATCAGGTAGGACGGCAAGAGGAGCTCCATCTTGCTCCACAATAAGACCTCCCCGAAAATAAACCCAAGCGCTTATTTCGGGGTTCAAAAAAAATATAAGACAGGGTCTTGTTTTCGGGGAAACACGGTACTAGTTTGGGAGAGAGGGATTTGTCCAGAAGGGCCTCCTGCTCGAGCAAGGGTTTGGACTACAAGACCTCTAAGGTTCCCTTCAACTCTGTTATTCTGTATTCTAATTGAAATCCCTGGGTTTTTAAAACCAAAGTTTTTTTTTTTCTTCAAAAGCAGTGGCCTCTTCGTACAAAGTCCCAAAAACATTTGATATCCCATTGCAGCATTTAACAGTTCCTCTCTGCTGATTTGTAACAAAGGAATCTGTGAAAGATCCGTTTCTTTGGGGAGAATTAGCCTGCAAAGTTAATTGGCTTCTAGTGTGGGAGAATGAACTCACAGTGATCTGTGGAATCTTTTATTTTTACTTTTATTTACTTTTTTAAAGGACAAAGACACTGTCCATCTTTCTGGCTAACTAGGGTTAAGAATGGTTGGTTTTGGCCTGCCTTTCATTTTGCAGAACTTGTGATCTGGACCCAAATTAATGAAGGGTCTTTAATTTATTGGAAACAATCCTTGGACCCATGACAGACGTCTTCAAGACATACACATGCATGCATGCATGTTTTTTTTTTTTAAAGTAAAAATAAAACCCATAAATGATTAAAGGTACATTGTGTTAAAGTAAAACCCAAGTTTTCAGTATCCGTCAAATAGGAGATTAAGGAATGTTCTCCTGATAGAACATAAGCCAAGGGATCTAAAAGCTTTTTACAAAGCTTAGATTATGTAAAAAGAAAATATGTAAATAGACATAATGAATAAATTTTTATTAAGATATTGGAAGGTATTGTTTGAGAAAATTGATAGTTGTAATAATTGGGATATTGTTTAAATATGTATAATAATTGTAATAATTTGAACATTTTTACTTAAGCAAAAAAGAAAAGAAAATTGAAATAGCATTATTTGAATTAAGAACTATGTCTAAATGTCAAATGTTAAATTGCTATATTTTTAAGATTAGAGATAAGATTAGAGATAAACCTGGTGGCTCAGCAGACTGATAGCATTGTGATTAACACCAGCTGTCTGCAATTACTGTAAGTTTGAATCTCACCAGGCTCATGGTTGACTCAGCCTTCCATCCTTTCTAAGGTAGGTAAATTGAGGACCCAGTTTGTGGGAGCAATAAGCTGACTTTGTATAAATATACAAAAGTATGAAGGCTATTGCTTAACGCATTGTAAGCCGCCCTGAGTCTCCGGAGAAGGGCGGCATATAAATCAAATTTTAAAAAAAAGATTTAAATTTGATAAATGCATTATGAGTTTTTAACAGATTTAAGATTTTAGGTGGGTTACTAGAAGGGTAATTGTTTTGATTAAGTAAATATGAGTAAACTCTTTTTAAGATGGTACTAATTGAATACGTGATTTAAGATTGAGAAATAAGTGTTATGGCAAAATAGAATATAAAACTATATCTCTTCTCTAACCAATTATAAAATTGTCTCCATGCCTTGCAATATTCCGAATCCTCTCTTTCTTTAATGATCAAAGTCAGTCTATTCATTTCTGCACAATGTAATATTTCCTTAATTACTTCATCTTCTGAAGGGATTTTCTCTACTTTCCATCTTTGCGCAAATACTAGCCTCGCTGCAGTTATTACATGTATAATCAAATATACCTTTTCTTTGCTAAGCTGAAGAAGCTTCTTGGATGAGAAGCAGGAGTGAGATTCAGCCGGTTCGGGCAAACCGGCTATTGTTATGGCTAGCGGCGGGCCCGCCGTGGCGCTATCCTGTCTTATACAATCACTGGTTTTTTGACGCAGCGTGCATGTGCGCAAGGCATGCATGCAAGCGAAGCTACCCCGTCCTGTATAATCGCTGTGTTTTTAATGCAGCGTGCATGTGCACAAGGCACGCACACTCACATTTTCAATTCTGGGCGAACCGGTTGTTAAATTATGTGAAGCCCACCTCTGATGAGAAGTGAAACATCTTCAAAGAAAAATCAGAAAATCCAGTTTGCCTCTTGAAAAAGCATCTTTGGGACAATTACTCTAGATCAGGGATCTGCAACCTTAAACACTCAAAGAGCCATTTGGACCCGTTTGGACAGAAAAGAAAACACTGGGAGCCACAAAACCCTTCCCATGTCCTGGCTATTTCTTGAGTGTCCACAAAACTAGCATATGTAGTTGAATTAAATGTTCTGTTTTCTTCTGAAACTTTTCTTTTCTTGGATTTATCCATGGTTGGCCTACCGGGGTTGAAAAGCTCAATAAATCGTATGCCGGCGGGTGTCGCACATTGGCGGCTGTGACACATATTTTGAGTGACGGAGCCACAGCAGAGGGGTGAAAGAGCCACATACAGCTCCAGAGCCGCAGGTTGCCGACCCCTGCTCTAGATATAAAGTCTGTTGCTTTTGGCTATGGATTCCCTTTAACCGAAGGGAAAAGTAGACTCAGGGATAAGTCTTTTGTCCTTTCTTCCAGATTTAAGCTGGCAAAGCCATCACGGTGCATTTCTCCTTCCACGTTTGGGATCACAAAAGGTTGAAGATCTGCTAAACAAACACTCCAATGCCTTGTCTTCCAGCCAGCATACAGGACACAATGTTCATGGTTTATACCATTGTAAACTTCTGCGGGGCAAAAGACAGGAACAATTCACGTAAAAATATTGGGCAGTTCTCTGCAGGTCTTGGCTGGCTCTCTTGAAAAAGTTCAGCGTCCTTCATATATACTGATTTATAGGCTGCTTAATTTGGGGAGTGCTTGTATTTGCCTCCCTTGAAAAACACTTAGCAAAACTCGTTCGGCTGTGTTTTATTACTCTGGGCAGGGCCTGCTATAGCTCCCAATTTTTCCAGCCAGAGTCAAAAGGCAGGAATTAATATCGGGGAAATTAGGATGGAGGAATGCCGAATATGGATGATCGTGCTTAATAAAATAAACGCAAAGGAAATGAAGGAGCCTGAGTGGCGCAGCAGACTAATGCTACTGTTAAAGGTAGTATTTAGCTTCCAGCTGCCTGCAATTACTGCGAGTTCAATTCTCACCAGGCTCAAGGTTGACTCAGCCTTCCATCCTTTCTAAAGTAGGTAAATTGAGGACCCAGTTTGTGGGGGCAATAAGCTGACTTTGTATAAAATATACAAAAGTATGAAGGCTATTGCTTAACGCATTGTAAGCCACCCTGAGTCTCCGGAGAAGGGCGGCATATAAATAAATAAATAAAAAAAGATTTTATAGAAATGGGAGTCCCCGGGGTTTCCTGTGGAAAGCACAGCTGTTTTGTATACAGGTAGTTCTCAACTTATGACCACAATTAGGCTCGGACCTTGTCATGGTTGAATGTGAATCACATGGTCCTTAATTGACCATGACCAATTGACCAATGAGCCTTGGTGGCGCAGCAGACTAAAGTGCTGTTAAGTAGCACCAGCTGTCTGCAATTACTGTAAGTTCGAATCTCACCAGGCTCAAGGCTGACTCAGCCTTCCATCCTTTCTAAGGTAGGTAAATTAAGGACCCAGTTTGTGGGGGCAATAAGCTGACTTTGTATAAATATACAAAGGTATGAAGGCTATTGCTTAACGCATTGTAAGCCGCCCTGAGTCTCCGGAGAAGGGCGGCATATAAATTGAACCAATCAATCAATCAATAATTGAATCCACCTCCCCCCATTGATTTTGTGTCAGCATTCCAAATAATGCACTTATAGATATAACATTTAGACTTACATACCGCTTCACAGTCCTGACTTGTCAGCGTTTCATTTCTTAGTCTCATCATACTTAGGATTCATGATTTTGTTTATTTGCAACTATTTGCATTATAAATACTTTTAGTGAGCCATTGTCAACATGTCATCAAGTTTGGGTAGATTTAGCGTATCAAAATTGATTGATTGACGGCATGCCACTAGAAGTTTAAAATACTGCTTTTCTGCCCCCCCCCTTTTTTTTTCAGGGCCATCTGGTTCAAAATTGCTCAGATCCAGTGTGATCATGTTCTGTTTTGATGGACGAGACATGACTCAAGGGAGGGGGGTGGGGCTTGCTTCTTTTTTTATAGACACAATCAGTGTATTTTTTGCTCGCCTGGTTCCAAAAATACTTTCTCAAGCATCTCCAAAGTCAGTCCTCCTATGTCTGGGTCATCTTATCTTCTTCTTTGGGGTTTGTTTATTGTCTGTGAAAGGGGGACGCGGTGGCTCGGTGGCTAAGATGCCGAGCTTGTCGATCAGAAAGTTAGCACTTCGGCAGTTCAAATCCCTAGCGCCACGTAACGAGGTGAGCTCCCGTGACTTGTCCCAGCTTCTGCCAACCTAGCAGTTCGAAAGCACGTAAAAAATGCAAGTAGAAAAAATAGGGACCACCTTTGGTGGGAAGATAACAGCGTTCTGTGCGCCTTTGGTGTTTAGTCTTGCCGGCCACATGACCACGGAGACGTCTTCAGACAGCGCTGTCTCTTCGGTTTGAAACGGAGATGAGCACCTCCCCCTAGAGTCTGGGAACGAGTAGCACATATGTGCGAGGGGAACCTTTACCTTTACCTGAAAGGAACAATACTTGTTCCTACAATTCCCTTCCCTTATTTGTATTTTTTTCCCCTACAGGTGGGTTGAAGTCCAAGTAGACAACTTGACCTGCACCCAGTACTGGGTGCAATATCTTCGGCTGCTCCAGGAATCCATTTGGCCTGGCGGAGTCTTGCCCGGGATGCCCAGACCACTCAGGACGGAAGAGCAGAAGGCTGAGACTAAGGAACAGGCCCTGCAGATTCTCATGGCAATACTGCCTGGTGGGTGAAGCCCAGACCTTAATCCTAACCTAACAAGGTTTTCCTCCTTGTAGAGAGTCATGGGAATGGCCTGGAGGGGCAATCCTAAAGCCATTCCCTGATCCCTGGGAAAGGTGGTAGTTTTAGGAAGAGGCACAATCTGGCTTTTACCTGAGTCATTGGGGAGGGGGAGAAAAATATAATCGGACTTGCAAGATAAAGCAAAAGATAATAAAGCTATTATATGTGTCTATGGAGATTCTCAGTCATCCAGGGAGGAGGAGGAAGAGAAGAAGAGGAGGAAGAGAGGGGGAGGAATACGTGTAGCTTGGGGTCCTTGGTGCTCTCTGAGGTTGATGATTTTCTTGCAGACAGTTTATTACTCAACCAGGTAACATCATTAGTGCTGGAAGAGAGTGGGATTTGAGAAGAAGAGGAGGAAGAGGAAGAAGGAGAAGAAGAAGAAGAATGTTGCTGTTGTTATTGTTATTGTTGTTATTCTTGGACGAGAAGCAAAATGTATTCAAAGAAAAACCAGAAAGTCCAATTGCTTCTTGAAAAAGCACCATAATAGAGCTAGCACTGATGATGTTACCTAGTTGGGTCAAGAAACATCTGTAAGAAAACCACCAAGCTCAGAGAGCACCAAGAGCCCCTCCTTTCAACCCTGAGCTCCAAATGTTCTCTTCTGTTGGAGAGTATCTCATGTTCTGACCTAGGCTTCCTGAGTCAGTAAAACACACGAGTAGTCCCAAAAACCTCTTTTATTGCAACAGCTGTGAATTCTGTTCATTCACAGGTGAGTCCCAAATAGTTGCAAAGAGTCCTTCGGGATAAGGCTGATAATCACCCACCTTTATCTCCCTTGACACGCTGCCAAAGACCTCATTGGCAAAGCCACATGGAGTCCAGAATCAAACAGAGCTTCAGACTTCAAACTGCACAGAATTAACAACGTTGCTTCCTGCAAAGGCCCATGTCCCTTTGCTCCTCTTTTTAAGTGTCCCAGCCCTACTCCCGAATCATCCCTTTTGTTTTAGCTGTTCTTGCCTTCTGGCAGCTCTGCACATGCGCACACTGGGAACAGGCTCCCCCTGTTCCTCTGCCTCGCTGAGATCCGACTCTGGAGGCTTCGGAGGCAGTATGTACCTCCCAGATGGCCCTTTCTCTGCCTCCGACGCAGAGCCCTCATCCGAGCCTTCCCCAGACTCCAGGACTGGCCCATGGTCCTCCCCAGCCTCCTCACTGTCTGATTCCATTGCCAGCTTCACAGGCTGCTGGCGGACACAACGTCTCAATACAGCTTAATTCTAGTCTTCTATAGAGTCTCTTTCCTGATCTAGGCAATCTCCAAGAGCTAAAACGCCTTAACTTAGATGAGAAATAGAGCTGAACAAAATGATAGAAAATCTTATCACCCATGAAGATGCAACATTGCTCCCAAATGGGCCTCCTTCTTAGCTACGTCGTCCCCATCATTTTTTTTTAATCTAGCATGCTAATAATAATAATAAACCATAATCATACCCATCAAATGAAGCTCTTGGTTTAAAAACTGTATATTCTTTTTTTTTTTAAATGATTTTTATTGAACTTTTAAAAACAAAAGAAAGAAAAATACAACAAAAACGAAAACACATTTAAAACACATAACAAACCTACCATTACATCATATATTATTTTACAACTTACTGTATCGACATGTATATATGTTCTCTCTTTTTATTCAATTGTCCATCCACGTACTTATATTTACATTTTTATCTATCTAGTCTTAACCCGAAAATGATGGCTGTCTGAAAACTGTATATACTCTTGATACAGAAGGTGTCCTGTCAATTTCTGCATCTCAACACTTTCTTTAAGAAAAAAAAAAACATTTTATTTATTTGTATGCTGAAAAGACATACCGTACATGGCACACTTTAAAAAAAAAAAACATAAAAAGGAAAAATCACAAGAAACAAACATCAAACATCAATGTTCCAAAACATGAAAAGGCCTGGTGAAAAATTATGTTTTGAATCTTTTCCTAAAATGCTAAATAAGCAAAGAACGGCTTGTTCCATAACACACAGGCCCCGTTCCGGAGAAAGCAGAATTAATCATCGATGTCAAAACAGGGATATTTTCCCTAAATATGTGTTTGTCTATGGGATTCTCAGTCATCCAGGTCATGGTTGTCCCAAAGGTGCTTTTTCAAGAGGCAACTGGGCTTCCTGTTTTTTCTTTGAAGACGTTTCGCTTCTCATCCAAGAAGCTTCTTCAGCTCTGACTGGATAGTGGAGGAATGGAAGGATTTATACTCCTTGCAGACAGCTGGTCATTTTGCATCCTTTTTAGAGAGTCATTGAGGCCACTTGAAGGTTTATATGTGTCCTCGGGGTCACCTGAGTGGTGCAAATGGAACTGGAAATAGATGATATCGCATTCCTCCCCGTCTGTTGAGAGAGGGCTGTTCAATTTTGACATAAATGGCCTCTTTGACCCCTCTTCCAAACCAGCGGTCCTCTCTGTCCAAGATGTGGGCTTTGCTGTCTTCAAAAGAATGGACTTCATCTCTTACATGCAGGTGGACTGCTGAATTTTGTCCTGATGGATTTGTTCCAGGGGTGAAATCCAAATTTTTTGACCACCGGTTCTGTAGGCATAGCTTGGTGGGCATGGCAGGGGAAGGATACTGCAAAATCCCCATTCCCTCCCCACTCCTGGGGGAAGGATATTGCAAAATCTCCATTCCCACCCCACTCGGGGGCCAGCCAGAGGTGGTATTTGCCAGTTCTCCAAACTACTCGAAATTTCCACTACCGGTTCTCCAAACTGCTCAAAATTTCCACTACCGGTTCTCCAAACTGCTCAAAATTTCCGCTACCGGTTCTCCAAACTGCTCAAAATTTCCGCTACCGGTTCTCCAAACTGCTCAAAATTTCCGCTACCAGTTCTCTAGAACCTGTCAGAACTTGCTGGATTTCACCCCTGGTTTGTTCTCTTCTCAAAGAAAAACAAGAAAGTCCAATTGCTCTTGAAAAAGTGCCTTTGCGGTACTGCTACTATGCTTTTCTTGTGAATTTATACTAGTTTCTGTTTCCCACAGACTCGCTCCAAGAATTCCTAGGTATCAATAAATGTCAACAATGCTGGAGCCTCGTCTTAGAGTCCATGCAGCATCCAAGCATCAACAGGTAACTTTCATCGTATGATAACGAAGAGAGGAAAACGAATCCATATTTACACAGGGCAGAGCCATCGAATTAAATGCAAGTAGTCCTCCACTTAAGACCACAGTTGGGGCCAGAACTGTCATGGCCACTTAGCCGTGTGGTCGCTAAGTGTGTGATTTTTCCACCTTTTTACTGCAATCATTACATGAATTTGGCTTCTGTCATTGACTTGGCTTCCCACAACTGGGAAGGTTGCAAATGCCATGAATATAGAACATAGGATAACGGAGTTGGAACGGACTTTAGGGCAGTGGTGAAATCCAAATTTTTTTATACTGATTCTGTGGGCGTGGCTTGGTGGGTGTTGCAGGGGAAGGATACTGCAAAATCTCCATTCCCTCCCCACTCCTGGGGGAAGGATATTGCAAAATCCCTATTCCCTCCCCACTCTGGGGGAAGGATACTGCAAAATACCCATTCCCTCCCCACTCCTGGGGGAAGGATATTGCAAAATCTCCATTCCCACCCCACTCGGGGGCCAGCCAGAGGTGGTATTTGCCGGTTCTCCGAATTACTCAAAATTTCTGCTACCGGTTCTCCGAACTGCTCAAAATTTTTGCTACCGGTTCTCCAGAACCTGCTGGATTTGACCCCTGATTTAGTGTTCATGTAGACCAACTGTCTGTTCCTCTGCTCGAGCAGGAGCGTCTATACCATTTCAGATAAATGGATGTCCAAACTCTTCTTGAAAACCCACCAATGATGGGGCACCCATAACCTCTGGAGGCAAACTGTTGCACTGGTTGATTGTTTTCACCATTGGAAAATTCCTAGTTTTAATGCCCTCTCTCTTTGATTAGTTTCCAGCCATGGGTTCTTGTCTTGACTTCTGATGCTTTGGAAAATGGGTCAGATACATGACCCCGGGGTGCTGCAACCCTTGTAAATCCATGCCAGTTGCCAAGTATCTTGATTTTTCGATCATGTTACCTCTGGGAAGCTTTGATGGTTATTAAGTGCAAGGACCAGTGGTGGGATTCAGCCAGTTCGGGAGAACCGGTTGTTAACTTTCTGAGCAGTTTGATGAACTGGTTGTTGGAAGAAATCATTAGGGCAGAGAACCGGTTGTTAAATTATTTGAATCCCACCACTGGCAAGGACCCATCATAGGTCCCTTTTTTTCAGTGCCACCCTACTTTCGAACAGTCGCTAAACAAATTGTCAGAAGGTGAGGACTATCTCTAGCACAGGATCTCGAGAGATAAAACGGAATGCTAGGTTTAGTAGGATAAGCAAGATCTACAGAGGGAGGGAGTGTTTATTTTTCTCCCGTCGGTAAGTTCTTTTCCCGTCATGTTTCTGCTTGGTCTAAATAAAGTGACGCTCTAAAATATCACTCCCCAGCTTGACGCTGGCTGTTAATACGGTGTGTTAAAATCCTAACATCTCGTTGCACATGAGATTAGCGGGGGCTCATATAAACAGTTGGCAGTATCTAGCAGGCTTTGGCCGATCTTGAAAAAGCAAAAGCGGGTTGAGATCTATTTATTCCTTGGATTTAGTCTTCGGATAGGAAACAGAAACCATTGTGAAAGGAGACAGAGGCAACCTCCATATGGTTCCCAAGAAAACTACATGGGTTTATCCAGTGATGGTATTCAAAAAATTTTACTACCGGTTCTGTGGGCGTGGCTTGGTGGGTGTGGCTTGGCTTGGCTCGGGTGTGGCAGGGGAAGGATACTGTAAAATCCCCATTTCCACCCCATTCCAGAGGAAGGATACTGCAAAATCTCCATTTCCACCCCATTCCAGGGGAAGGATACTGCAAAATCTCCATTTCCAACCCACTCCAGGGGAAGGATAGTCTAAAATCCCCATTTCCACCCCATTCCAGGGGAAGGATACTGTAAAATCTCCATTTCCAACCCACTCCAGGGGAAGGATAGTCTAAAATTATTTATTTTATTTTATTTTATTTTATTTTATTAAATTTCTATACCGCCCTTCTCCCGAAGGACTCAGGGCGGTGAACAGCCAGAAGATAAAACACAGGAAATACAAAATCTAAAATAAATTAAAACAAATTAAATAATTTAGGCTGAATTTTAAAATACCCCATAATTAAACAGATTAAAAATTTATGTTTAAAATTTAAATTTAAAAGAGGAGATGATTTAGGCCAGGCCAAATCCCCATTTCCACCCCACTCCAGGGGAAGGATACTGTAAAATCCCCATTTCCACCCCACTCCAGGGGAAGGATACTGTAAAATCCCCATTTCCACCCCACTCCAGGGGAAGGATACTGTAAAATCTCCATTTCCATCCCAATCCAGGGGGAAGGATACTGTAAAATCCCCATTCCCTCCCCACCCCACTAACCTGCTTTCCAGCTCTGTTCTCCTGGGCAGGGCAACAAAAGAAGACCCAGCCGATCAGCTGGGACTCCGATCAGCTGGGACTCCGATCAGCTGGGGCTCAGGAGGCAGTGAATAGATGGGGGCGGGGCCAGCCAGAGGTGGTATTTGCTGGTTCTCCAAACTACTCAAAATTTCCGCTACCAGTTCTCCAGAACCTGTCAGAACTGGCTGAATACCACCTCTTGGTTTATCTTATGATGTCTTGACCTTATTATTCAACAAACTTAACACCGTTACGCCATTTCTAACACTAGAGTGTTCATCTCCTTGGATATTGGAATCTGCTGTCACATTGATTCATAATCCATCTTTCTTTTCAGGCACGTCCTTTACTCCCTCATGGACATCCTGATGGAGTTTTTGATCCCCGATTCCCCGACGGAGGCGCCCCAATCAACGTCAGTCATGACTTCAGTCTATGGAGCCGCTGAGAGATCTAGTACTTCACCGCGTTAATTCATAACTGAGGCAAAGAGAACCCCAACTAGACGTGATCTCATATGATACATTGCTGTTGGTCTGATCCAGGATCTGTTGAATAGATAGATAGATAGATGACCAACAGATAGACAGTGATTACTGTAAAAGGATGTTCCAGAACTTTTTCTGCACCATAAAATACTATCGTTTCAAGAACCTGGAAGAATTGCAGAGGAGTTCAGAATGAGAAGAAATAACCTGTTAAATGTGAATAATCTGGAGAATAGGATAATTCTTTAGCTACATTCCTGGATAGATGTAATTTTCCTTTCTGCATGTTTTGTTTTAATTTACAGGACGTTTTGGTGCTCCCAAAGTACTTATTTGGGCATTCCATGATATGACCTCTTATGTTTTCCTTTCCCAACAAAACCACTCCAGTGAGCAGCAAACGACAAATTAATCCCTGTTTTTGCTTTTTATTTCTGTACATCATGTATTTGTCCTTGAAACCTAAGAGTATTCCTGGAATTTTAGAACTACCAAGCAAAGAAGGTTTGATGGCTTTCCAAAATTGATGTAATTGGCTCAAGTCACTTGTTGTCTGAAGAGATGACTCAAATCATTTTGCTGTTCATCAACTGGCTTTGAAGAAGTTTGTTGCTGTTTGTTTAACCATCTAGGATGCTATTACTCATTCAGATCATTGGGATGGTTTGCATTCTTTGATGATGGACTTGCTGCAACGGCCAAACAAAATTGGATGAGTCTAGATCAGCCATATATAGATGCCTCCAACCAAGATTGTAAGGAGGTGTGTTCGCAGATTCTTAAAGTATGGAGAGTGGAGAACTTCCTTGTTCTTTGTCAGCCTACATTTAAGTATGTTTGCAGGGGAGGGAGTCCCTGAATTGAATATGTATCAAAATTAAAGTTGTTATTTGGCTACATCTTGAGCGAATTTTCTTTCTTTTTCTTTTTTTTTTTTTAATAGTTTTTATCCAATCTTTTTTAGTTTTAAAAGCACTTTTCCATTTTTACAGCTTTCAACTATCGGTAACAATTCCTAATTTCATAATTCCAATCTACAGCCTATCATTTTATACATTATCTTTAAATATTAGTATCTTTTACCATCTTCTATTTTTGTTCTTCATTAACAACGATTTAATCTATTCTTCACGTATGCAGTATATCTATCTGCATTTACATATTCCTTTTATCCTTTAACAAGTTTTATTGTATTTATAAATATATATAATTTTCAATTTAACGTACGTTCTATATGCATCAATTTTACATCTCGTTTCAAGCCATGGATACCGCATAATCCAACTCTTGTTATATTCTGATTCCTCTCTGTCTTTAAGCTCCATGGTTAATTTATCCATTTCCGCACAATCGAGGACTTTTTTGCCTCGATTGGCCTATTTGCAACGGGGCCACAAGAATGGTGAGCCGGTGTGCACACACAGCTCAACTTGTGTGAGTGGTGGGACAGCGTGCGTGCACACACAGGTGCAGCTCAACTTGCACAAGTCGAGCTGTGCACCCATGCACGTACATGATAGCCCGCCGCTTGTGCAAATTGAGTGATGCGCATGTCGGCTCGCACAGCCTGGTTCTCCTCTTCCCCCGCCCACCCATCGTTGGGCCGCCAAGCCACAAAGGTTGGGGACCACTGATCCAGGTCATGGTTGCACTGAATAGCTGAATAACAGAGTTGGAAGGGACCTTGTAGGTCATCTAGTCCAACCCCCCTACACCAGTGATGCCTAATCTTTTTGCCATCATGTGCCAAAAGCGGGGGGGAGCGCAGGGGGTTCGTGCATGTGCGTGCCCACACCCATAATTCTATGCGCCCCACCCCCCACGCATGTGCGTGCGACCCCCCTGTGCTCTCCCCACTTTGGGCGTGTGCGTGCCCACGATGGCCTGGTAGGCCCGTTTTTTGCTCTCCCCAGGCTCCAGAGCCTTTCTAGGAGCCTGTGGAGAGCGAAAATGGCCTTCCCCACCCCTCTGGAGGCCCTCCGCAGGCCAGAATCGGCCCATTTCCCTACTTCCAGTGGGCCGAGAAGGCCTGAAAATCAGACTCCAAGACTGGCCCATGGTCCTCCCCAGTCTCCTCACCGACTCCGCTGCCAGTTCTGCAGGCTGCTGGCAGACCACAACGCTGAGTGACTTTGGGCCAGTCACTCTCTCTAAGCCCAACCCACTTCACAATGGAGGTGGAAGGATCAGGAGGATTAGAAAGGTTTGCGCCTTGAGTTATTCATAAAAATAGTAAAAATGGGACATAAATAAATAAATAATTAAAAATACCTACTAGTAAAAACAGATTGATAAGATGATAACGTCCAAATATTTACTCCCTATGTTGTCTTGAGTTTGTTCACACATGAAACTAAAATATAGATCCTTTGATTGTTTGAGTTAACGTATGAGCCTAAATATTGTCATTTTTTAAAACTACAAATAACGATTTAGCGTTAATAGGTGAGCCCAGCCATCATGGTTTAAAACAAATTAAGGTTTTTCTCATCATATCCAACCTTGAGCCTTGACTTCGTGCACTTCTGCAGCTGAAGTTGAGAATTACTAGAGCAAAATTGGTCTCCAAGGAGTTCCTTTGTTTCTTCTTTTCTTTTCAAAGCCGAGGTTTTTTTTATTAAAAAAAAAAAGTTAAATATCACTTGACCAAACAGGGTTTCCTTCCTGTTCCTAAGATATTTGTGGATCAAACGGTCAAGAGGTGCAATCAATGAATAATTTTGAAGAATTCGGAAGCCATGGGATTCAAAGTCCTTCAAAGTTTAAGATCTTTAAGACCCTTTGCAAAGCAAAGAAAAGACTTAGTGAAGTATACACATTTTTTTTTTCAAGTGCTAATAGTACCTCCTGGACTTTTAGAGAGCTCAGGAAGTATATTTATCTTAAACAAAGATCACAGAAATATGTTTGTGTGGTAAAAAGAAAAAGAAACATCGCTTTCCTTATACAGGATTTTTTTTCCCCCTCTGCCACATCGTCTTTGATGCAAGTTAGCATGTAGTTCTCACAACTCAATATTCCTTTATTTTGGAACATTTTAAAATTCTCTATTCACACAATCCCTGATTTAGTTATTTTATGTACTTGTTTAGATCTGGAAGAAAAACTTATTTCATCCAACTTATTTTATGAGACTCTAGAAAGAGTGCAGAGAAGAGCAACCAGGATGATTCAGGGACTGGAGACTAAAACATAGGATAAACAGTTGCAGGAACTGGGCATGGCTAGTCTAGTGAAGAGAAGGACCAGGGGAGACAGGATAGCAGTGTTGCAATATTTGAGGGGCTGCCACAGAGAGGAGGGGGTCAAGCTATTCTCCAAAGCACCCGAAGGCCAGACAAGGAATAATGGATGGAAACTGATCAAGGAGAGATTCAACCTGGAAATAAGGAGGAATTTTCTGACAATGAGAACAATCAACCAATGGAACAGAAGTTGCCTTCGGAAGTTGTGGGAGCTTCATCACTGGAAGCTTTCAAGAAAAGATTGGACTGCCATCTGTCAGAAATGGTGTGGGGTCTCCTGCTTGGGCAGCGGGCTGGACTAGATGACCCCTTCCAACTCTGTTAATCCTTCATATTGCCGCTTAAGTCCCCTACAGCTGTTCCAGCCCTGACATTATGTCAGAGTTTCATAGCCAGAACCAGTGGTGGGATTCAGCCAGTTTGCACCACTTCGGGAGAACCGGTTGTTAACTTTCTGAGCAGTTTGGCAAACTGGTTGTTGGAAGAAATAATTAGAGCAGAGAACCGGTTGTTAAATTACTTGAATCCCACCACTGGCCAGAACCATCTAATATCTCTGTTCCTGCTTTTAATTGTGGTTGTTAATTAACAGCCATACGAGGGGGGTTTATTTCCCTTGGAAGAAACATGGAATAACTGTTGGAAACCCTCGTAATGCAATTCTTAAGCCTAGAGCTGTTAAGAGTCATGCACAAATGAACTAGATGGTATAAGTGGTTTTTGACTTACAACTGTTCGTTTAGTGATTGTTTGATGTTACACCACCACTGAAAAAAGTGACTTACAATCAGTCCTCACACTAACGACCATCAAAGCATCCTCACTGTCAGGTGATCAAAATTCAGGCCCTTGGTAACTGGCACGTACTTACGACAATGGTAAGAACTCATGGAATCATCATTTGCAACTGGCTTCCGACAAGCAAGGGGGAAGCTAGATTCGCTTAATGTCTGCGTGACTTACATAACAATTGCGGTAACCTTGGTAAGAAAGGAAAAAATGGCCAGGATTCCTTTAACAGCCACCTTGCTTAGCCATGGAAATTCTGGTCCCCATTGAGGTTGTAAATTGAGGACAAGCTGTATTAGGGGATGGAGAAAATTGGAAATAATGGCAGAGGGGAGATGAGATTCTGTACCCCCCCAAACACCAATATGTATATGGAGGGGACAAGTATTCAGTGGTTGATAAATGTGTGCTACTGTAGGATCCAGAGTAAACATTTCAAGTAAGTTTCTTACTTAAGAAAGGGTAAATGTTTTCCCGTTGTGTCCAACATGAGGGCACGGTGCTCATCTCTGTTTCTTGGTCGAGGATTGTCTGAAATAATTTCTGTGGTCATGTGGGCAGCATGGCTATATGCCAAATGCGCATGGAATACTGTTACCTTCCCACCAAAGTGGTAGCAGTAGCAATAGCACTTACCATATTTTTCAGAGTATAAGATGCACCGGAGTATAAGACACAGCTTAGTTTTTGGGGAGGAAAATAGGGGGGTCGGGAAATCTGCCTACCAGGTATTCATCTGGCTAGCGTCCTTAGTCTGGTCAGCTTCAGCACATTAGTTTGCTGGGTTTTTTTATCCCCTGCTTGGGGATAAAAAAACAGCTTATCAGGCACAGCTGAGAGGAAGCAGCAATGAGAAAAGCAGGCAAAACACGGAAGGTGGGGAGATCGCTTCACTCGGCTAGCGCCTGGTTAGGGCTGAAAAAAAGCTTCTAAAGAACAGCTGAGAGTCAGAGCAAAGCATGGAGATTGTTTCACTTGCTAGTGCCTCGTTAAAGCACAGCGGAGAGTCGAGGGAGCAGGCAAAGCTGGGAAGATCGCTCGCTAGTGCCTCGTTAGCGCCTTGTTAGGGCTGAAAAAAAAAGCTTTGAAAAAGCTACATTCGGAGTATAAGACGCACCCAAATTTCCAGCCTTTATGGGGGGGGGGAAAGGTGCATCTTATACTCTGAAAACTACGGTAGACTTACATACCACTTCACAGTGCTTTTACAGCCCTCTCTAAGCAGTTTACAGTATCAGCATCTTGCCCCCAACAATCTGGTCCTCATTTCACCCTTGGAAGGATGGAAGGCTGAGTCAACCTTGAGCCTGGTGAGATTCAAAATTGCAGGCAGCTGGCAGTCAGCAGAAGTAGCCTGCAGTACTGCACTCTAATCACTGCACCACCGTGGCTCATACCGTGGTGCCTATTTATCTACTCGCATTTTCATACTTTTGAACTGCTAAGTGGGCAGGAGCTGGAGCAAGGAACAGGAGCTCATCCTGTTGCACAGTCTTCGGGTCTCGAACCTTTCCATCGGATAAGCTCAGTGTCTGTAACCACTGAGCCATTGCGCCCCCTGCATTTTACTTAACAGTTGATGAAATTAGGAAAGGCGATCTTTTAGGAAGGTCAGCTTTCTGCTTTGTGGAAAAAGCCTGGAGAAGTCTCTCTGTCGATTTAGAAGACTCTATATATATTCTGTCCATATTTCTAGCTTTACCATCAATACATCTGGTGCTACCAGTTTGAGGAAAGCTACTACACAGGGGTGAGATTCTACCAGTTTGGACTGGTTCAGGTAAACCGGTAGCTCCGACGATCAGCTGGGAGCAAACCGGTTTGTCCCAACGAACACACCCGCCCGCCTGCGCTATTTTCCTA